GGCGGCAACCATTGGTTAGTGGCGAGTCCAGTCCCGCAACTAAAAAGTACCCGAACTTTAGTGATTTTTTGCGCTTAAATTAATAATCAGAAAAAACTGAAATTTTGGGAACCCGTAGATTAGGTCCTCATCTCTCTAGGAAAAATATTAAAGAAAGAAAGAAAATTATTTTCGACCCTGAAATAGTTGTCGCGTCGATTTGGTTCATTTTCCATTTTTGCCACTCCGCGATGTGTGGACCAACGGGAAAAGTACCCTAAGAACACGTTGAAAATCCTGAAAATTGGAAAGCCCGTAGATTAGGTCCTGATCTTCCTACAAAAAATATCTCAAAAACAAAACAAAACAATTTGATGCTGAAATGGTCGCCGTGCCAATTCGGTGCATTTTCCATCTTTGCCACTCTTTGACGTGTGGGCCAACGGAAACAGTATCCTAACTTCAGTGCTTTTTCACGGTCAGAAAGAATGCGTTAAAAATTATGAAAATTGGAGGGTCTGTAGATTAGGTCTTGTTCTTTCCAGGAAAAATATTGTTTAAAAATTAAAAAATAATTTCAACTGTCAAATAACCACGCAAATTCGGCACTTTTTCCATTTTCGCTGCTATGCCATGTGCCGGCCAACAGAAAAGTCCTGCATATTCCGTGATTTTTTTAGCTCAGAAGAATATAAGTAAAAATATAAAAAAAAAAATCAGAATCCATAGATTTCGTTGTGATCTTCTTAGGAAAAATATTAGAAAAAAAAGTAAAAATCATTTTGGCTGCAAAATGTAATATGGCGGTGATTGGACACATTTTCCATTTCTGCCATTGGGCTGGTTTTCCACTCTGCAAGGTTAGGGTTTGGACGCACAGACACATCCTGACGTGCCGGGCTGCCTGACACGGGATACACTTGAAAAAAAAAACGTTCCCCGAAATCACACAGGGACCCAATCTGCCTCAATGCTTATCTCATCGGGCAGTTGGGTTTCTCAAATCTGTGCATGGGCAGATTGATGTGTGTGTGTGTGGGCAGGCAGGCGGGCAAGCGTGCGTGCATGCAAGCAAGCAATGGACCGAGGGAGTGTGTGTGGGGGGGGGGCAGGCAGGCTACTCCTTTTTCAGAGGCACAAAACGACACGGAAAGCAACAAAGAAACAAAAGAAACAGTGCACGAGAAATGAAAGCAAAAAAAAAAAAAATAGGAAACACTGCGCGAGAAACCCACATATCGGATGGCTCACCTCCAAGACGTGTCGGCCATGTCCCCGGCCCCCGGGGCGCACTATGAACATTTCGGTACGCGTGCCCCTCTGCACACTCCCCCGCCCTCGATCACCTTCATCCGGCACCCCTCACCAGAATTTCAACCCAAATCCAGCGCGCAGCCCGTCATGGACTTCCTCCCGCAGCCAATGCTGCTTAAAGGATCGGATAATAATAATAAAGATCTGCCCTGTTTAAAATCAGATCCTTTGCTTCATAGACCTTGATCCAATAATAATAATAAAGATCTGCCCTTTCCAAAATCAGATCCTTTGATTCATAGAGCTTGATCCATTTCAGTTGCTTCTTTGAGAAATTTGTTTTCCTCTTTTTTGAAGTTTTTTCTTGAGAATAAGTTCCTCTTCAGAATGAACATGTCACCATAAAAAAATCAGACATAAATCTTGGTCTCTCCAGTCCACCTGCTCTCTGCGCATAGGATTGAAAGAAATCTTTCCTGCGCATGCACTGGATGTATGAGGTTGCTGGAAATACTCTTCCACCTGCCTAGCAGAAGCATCATAGCTGTTTCACTTTCTGTTATGATAATGGTTCTTTTTTTGCTGGGGAAAACTCAGATTTTTGCAGCCTGTCACCCCAAGAAGACCTCAGGGTTTCAGGTCATATTTTTAAGCCTCCATTCCATTATTGCGAAGATGCACCTGCTGGCAACCAGGGCCAGCATCCCATTGTAAAACATGGAGAGTTATGGGCCATACGACGCCTCTTCACCCCACTCTGGGGGTGCAAGATACTACAACACAGTGAACACACACAGCCCTTTCAGTCGCCTACCAAATGTGAACCTGGTATGCTCCACAGAAAGGAGAAAGGACAGTTTGATACGCTAGCAGCCTAGCACATATTGCATTGTCCAATTGGTTGAAGGACAGGCAAGGAGGAGAGGAGGAGCCCAGTTGTTATTTTGAAATAATTCTTAAACCACAAGTACACACGACCTCGCGTTGGACTTGCACTGCCTGCCAAGCTTTGCAGAATCGCCAGGCATTTTCTTACGTTTTTTTTTTTTTTTTTTACGACCTTAAGATATTATCCTTGAACTGACTGGCCCAAGGTAATTCAGAATGTTTTTATTTTTGTCATCTGATTGTAACTGGATTCGAACTGCGGTCTGCATTTCAAGTTTCAACAGTTCCTCGGTGTAGCAACTGAGCCATTGGTCACTTTTTTTTCCCCCTTTTTGGTGGGTGTTGCCTTGAGCCAATTCCGGTGTTCAGTTCGGTATGCTGATTGATTGCTCGGTCCAGTAGCCCTGTTAGAACTGGGGCCCGAGCCTTACCTCTGAAAATTTGAGCCAATTCCCCAGAATTAAGAGGAAAAAAAAAAGAAAAAAAAGGGAAAGGTGTTCAGTTCGGTATGCTGATTGCTCGCAGGTCAATATTACTGTCCCTGTTAGAAACCAAACAGAACGTAAACATTTCTCCTGCGTTGACCAACTTGACCTACATACTACTTTTTTTTTTCTTTTTCTTTTTTTACCTACATAGTAGTACTACGCAGCAAAGTGTTTGTTTTTTTCGCGGGAAGGCGGGGAACAGTTGCTCCAATCGATTCGTGGGGAGCAGCATGTGCTGGGAACCGGGCCCAGCGTCCAATATGGAATTATATAGAACGATATAAATACCGGGGCCCTGACACAGCTTCGGCTGAGAATTGAATTTAGTATATCAGACTATATCTTTTATTTTATTTATTTAGTAGAAATTTTGGAAACATAAGGTACCACTAGTACCTTTCCCGCGTGGGAAAATAGGGAAAACTGGCTGTTTTCCCAATCGCCTGAATTTTCGGAGGTCGGGCCCGACGACGACTGCCATTGATAAATCTGATCGGCGGCCGTCGTTTCGGTTTGGCCGCTGCAAAGGTCGGACGCCTACCCGAGGCCCGCTATGTTCCCAAGCGGCAAAGGTACTAGTGGTTTGAACCATTGAGAATAACTCCTAGGGGAATAGCGCATGCCAAGATACATATAGGCTACTGCACATGCCAAAATGAAAACCCCACCAGTGCCAGGTCTCTACCAGGCCTCACGCCCTGGGCTTGCCCAGGTTACAGGAGAGCACAACCTCGCCCCGGCTGCAGCCAATCATCCCGGCTACGACCCCTAGATGGCCGCTGAACCACCCCCCCCTGCCTCTCAAAGCAGTATCCCAGATATCTCTCCCAGACCTCACACTCACACCTATGCAGGTTACAGGGCAACGCCCCAGCACTGGCCAGCATCATTCTGGCAATGGCTATCCAAGCGTCACAAAACACAACAGCATCGGTGCTGTATCATCCTTTTTTTTTTTGTTTCGTTTTTGTTTTTGTTTTTGTTTTTGTTTTTTTTGTTTTAACGGAAATACCGCCCGCTAAAACAGATAGGAGTGATGATAAATGCATACAATCCTACCTATCATGCAGGGGGCTCCAGTCTACAGGTGGGGAGCTACACCTGCTGGAAAGGGGGTCCAGCGACAGCAACTTAACGGTGATGTATCATCCTGGCTGCCAAGCAACATTAGAGTATCCGACTTCCAGTCTCCTAACTTCTGAGGAAATTTATCAGAAAACTACTGAGACAACTACTGTTGAAGTTTCCATTGGAATTTGGAACATCATAACTTGATAGTTCCCGCAAAAACCATACAACGGGCCTTAAGAAAACTTAATTTGGAAGTATGAACAGTTTGGGAGAAGATATCCGTTGACAATTCCACGACTCCATCGAGTCTTCGCCAACACCGCCCCTTTCCCAGATCTCTACCAGGCCTCAAGCCTCCATCAAATATAGGTTACAAGGGTACACCATGTTACCCCCACTCCGGCCAGCATCGATCTGGCCCTCTGGCCACTGGAATTGCCTTGGAGTTTTCCCCTCGACAATCCCCCAGATCTCTCTGCCAGGCCTCATGCCCCGCCTAACTCAGGTTACAGGGCACCGCAACCAAGCCCCAGCACCGGCCAGCACCGTACTGGGATGGGATCTCTGCAAGAAGGCTATCAGCGAAGCACCGGATGAGCTATCGAAACCTTGTCCTCCCCCTCCCCTGGAAAATGGTAATCTTATGACCCCCAGAATCAGCAGGCAGGAAAAACCCTGTCTCTGTCATTGAAAGGAGAGTCGGATATACAGCAGGATGAACTTGGCTGCCCCGGCCGGTACCCTCTGTCATTGAAAGGAGATGCGTCGCGAAGCTGAACAATGAGCCTGCGAATGAACACTTCACATGTCATTCCAGCGTCGACGATCATTACAGGCGATTCCCTCTGATGCTCGTTCCTCCATCGAAGCTACTTGAGCACCCAGGGCTGATCAGTGTCTTACCGCCACAGAGGAAAAATTCCGCTTCATCTACCCTGTGGCGAAGACCACTGTCCTGACCGATGATGAAACACGATTCCATGCACCTTGTGAGGACTAGGCAACAGCACGACCACGTGATTTTCATCCACCCACCTGATGCTCACCATAAGGCGGCGATTCTACCAGCCACTGTTGCCACGTGACAGAATCGTCACACACCCTATCTTCCACCATTGCTCACCATAGCTCGTCTCCTGCGCCACACTCACACACCGCCCCACAATCCGCAGCCCATACTACAGGGGATCGCACCTGTAAGCCATGGTTCCCTCTCTGCTCCTACTGCCGATGCCGCTCTTGTTACACCGCGGCAGCCATGCCACGTCAACCTCCCTGAAGCACCGCCATGGTTTAGCGTGAGACTGGGCCCGGCGCAGCGCTGCCTGGAGTCCTGCACCGGCCGCGGGCCCCCTGCCTAATTTGGTTGTGCCTATCCTGGAAGCCCTCCGGAATATAGTTGTCTTTCAGTTTCAAGTTTCAATTAATCTCTGAATGGGATATGCTCGAGTGTTGTTTAGTACCATAGGGCTTAAGTTGCCGCTTAACCATACAGCGTCGAGGGTGCTTCGGTACTATGCTGATTGCTCGTAGGTCATTTTGCTATATCTTCAGAGCAAGAACAGAACTAAACGTCTAAGCCAGAAAGTTGATGATGTCTGGTCACAATCCACCTGATCACAGTCCACCTGGCACAATGGACCGAGACATCTGCATGCCCAGGTGCACTCCAATATGACTAGTTTCTCCCTTTCAATCTAGAGTACTATGAGTAGGGTATCTCTGTACTTCTCCCTTGAAATAGGAAAGGTCTGGTGGTACCTTTAGAAGTTAGGAGAGACAGGGCCAGAGCCATCACAAGATTTAAGCCACAGTGTGGTGACTAAGTTGACTAACCCTCTTGCTACCTTTTTAAGACTCCCCAAGATTGTGGGGCCCACCTGACCCCTTGCTAGTTTTGTCTCAGGCACCGATGCTTCCTCTTCACAACCTCCTCGCACATTTCATAGGTGCTCAATGCTCATGCTCATGCTTGCCACATTTTTTAAGACCCCCCTAGAATGTGGGGTCCACCAACCCCCTTGCTAGTTCTGTTCCCAGGTACGTATGCGCCTCCTTCCTCTCCACAATCTCATCACACCTTCGATGGATGCTCCTGGTGTTAGGATCAGACAAGAGGGAGGTATGTAATGACCATCAGTGATCAGCAAGGTGAAACGTCAAAAAACTTGAAAAAGACAGTTCAGTTCAGGATGATCTGGAGAAGCAGTCTGTGACTAGAGGTGTGAGTGGACCACCACAAATGGAAGGCTAGTTAGCATCATGCCACATCAGCAGCCCTGACAAAAGAATTCCTTACACTGTCAGCAGGCAGTGCAATATCCTGCATGTCGGCAACAAGAACTCATTTTCATGAATCCCTCTATGCTGGATTCAATAAAAGAGAATAAGGAATGCTCGATACCTTGGCTTTTGCCAGCAGTCACCACCACACCCCCTTCTACTGCTCTACCATTATAGCTATGTTTGGGCCAACTTCCAGTCTACATACAGCGATAATGACCGGGTGTTCTATTCGGCTGAAGACGGTCGCCAGAGAAAATCTACTTTTAGGGATGCACACCAAGGTTTACCTTGTCTCCCTCTGAAACAACAATGGTTTTTTTTTTTTTTTTTTTTTTAATACCGGGCCCGGTGCCCAAGGCTGATATTACCAATAATAAGATTGAGGCCGGGGTCCTCACAGTCTGCCCGGAGTGATCGAACCGAAACTGCTGAGAACCGGGCTCAGCGTCCCTCAAATGGTTATGATGATGACCATGATGATACTGATGATACCATAGATAATGATGCTAATGAGAATAATGATTTAAATATATGAAAAAATATAGAAGATTATGCTATATCAGCTATTCTGGCCTCCTAATCCTAGTACAACTCCTAGCCTTCCCTGTACCAGGACACTGTGCGTCAGAGACAAAACCAACCTAACCAACATCAACCATAGCTGATCTCTTCTCGCCTCCTTGCAGCCCCCCCCGGTTCACCCCTGGAATGCCTTCCACCCTCAGCAAACCCCAGATCTCTCTACAAGGCCTCACACTCCTGCCATTTACAGGTTACAGGGCAACGCCCCAGCTCCGGCCAGCGTCGTTCTGGCATCGGCAAACGAAGGGCACAGAACAGAGCAACTCAATAGATATCATTCCAGGTTCAACCATCTCTGAAGTCCTATATCCCGAATGTGGAAGAATGCTAGATGCTGCCAAAATTTCAGAACACCAAAAAGCTTAATATAACAATAATCAGATGATGATATTAATCATGAGATGATGATGATGATGATAATGATGATCATGATGAATATGATGATGATGAATATGATGATTAGTAGATGAAAATATAGAAGACTATGTTATAACAGCACTTCTAGCCTCCTAATCTTCGAAACCTCCCAGCCCTCCCTGCACCAGGACATTACATCTTAGAGACAATACCCTCCTAACCAATGTCTACCATACATAGCTGACCTGTTCTCGCCACCTAGACTATCCCTGGCCCCATAGGTCGTCAAGGCAGCCCCCCTGGTTCGCCACTGGATTGCCTCCCTCCCTCGGCAAATCCCCAGATCTCTTTACAAGGCCTCACACTCCTGCCAATTGCAGGTTACAGGGCAACGCCCCAGCTCCGGCCAGCGTCGTTCTGGCATCGCCAAACCAGGGGCAAAGACAAAGCAACTCTGTAGATATCGGTCCAGATTCGACCATCTCTAAAATCCTATATCCCGATTAAGGAAGGAGGCCAGATACAGCTGAGAATTACAGCACACCAGAAAGCATGATATAACATGGATGATGATGACGATGATGATGATTTTGATGATGAGATGATTCAGAAAAAATCCCCCCTCTCCCTTCCTTCCTCCATTCTCTCCACTCCCCTATCTATCCCTTTACCCTAATCTGCCCCCGCTGGGATTTGATGCTCAGCCCGAAAAAAGAGTACTCCTCACAATCTGCCCGTAGCCCCTCCAGGGTTTCACCACCCGCCTAATGAAACCCCTGCGGGGCTGGGCTCTCCCCCTCCCCCTCACCAAAATGTCATTTGCTTGGACAGCACCCTGAAGATACTGATAATGAGGATGATGATGACGACCCACTCACCTGCTGATGCAAAAGGCGAGCGATGCCTTGAAGAGCAAACTCTAATGATAACAAACTAATAATGATGATAATAGTGTTGATGATGTCAATAATGATGATGATGATGATGATGATGATGATGATGAAGACACACCAATGATGATGCTCATAATGATGATGATGATGATGATGATGATGATGAAGACACACCAATGATGATGCTCATAATGATGATGATGATGTTGATGATGATGATGATGATGGTGTCAGTAATGTTGATGATGATGATGAAGATGATGATGATGAAGATGATGATGAAGAAGATGATGATGATGAAGATGATGATGATGATGACGCACCAATGAAGATGCTCATAATGATGATGGTGATGTCAGTAATGCTGCTGCTGCTGCTGATGATGATGATGATGATGATGATGATGATGATGATGATGATGATGATGCATGATAGCCATACCCACTCCGCTGGGCCCAAAGGAAGCGCCAGCCTCCATACTGATGATAATGATGATGACGACGATGATGATGATGATAATGATGAAGATGATGATGATGATGGTGATGATAATGGTGATGATGAAAACCGCCGATGATGATGATGATGATGATGATGATGATGACAACGATGATAAAACCGAAGATGGTGATGATGAATGAAAATTACCGCCGTTATCCCAACATTATGAAAAATGTCGATGATGATAATGATGAAGATTACCGCCGTTGGCAACGCAGTACGAGTGAAGGCCGACGACAAATCCACCAAGACACTGAAACTGAAAGCTGGCCAGAATCGAAGAGAACGTCCCACCCCATGAAGCAAAGTATCCTCAGTCACACTGAGGTTTCCAACGCCTGAAGGTTCGTGCCACGAAGCAGAAGCACCAACCCCCCTTCTCTACCTGCGCCAGCCTGTGACGCCAGGAGATCAGCACGAAACAGAACAGAAGACCATCGCCTCTCCCTCCTCTCTGTCAACTAGAGACGCCACCATCCCCCTTGTAGAGTAGCAGCGCTCAACGTCCGTGTCTCTGTGATGTCACCTCCCTCAT